GAGAATATCCCCGCAAAGTTTCAGCCTTCTACGTTGTCTGGTTCGCGAAATCGTTTCCCGCCAACACATTTCTTTGGGGGTCTCTTACGCAGGGTTTAGACGCGTAGGGGGAAAGATCTTAAAACGGGAGGATGACACACGGGGTAGGAACAGATATCCAAAGTTTCAGCCTCCCAGCTTTCCTGGTTGATGAGATGAAAGGGGTTGACAAAATGCACGCGCTTTTGAACGCGCCACACAGACAGCCTCTCGACAATATGCATTTTTGCCAACTGTAGCAGCGCTATAGCGCTGAACAGCAAAAACGCAGAAAAATCGAAAATGAGTAATCAAAAGTAGCAAATATCTGCGGAAGGACATTTTCTCATAAAGATCACTTTCCAAATTCAGTGAGGCATCGCAATCCCCAGTTTCGGTTCTTCAACGCATCATCTGATATTACATCGTTGCTTTCTACTATTCATTAAATGGCTGAACGCGTCGCGCGACAGATGTTTATATTTATATTGGGAAGGCATGTAGCAAATTAGGAAACTAGCCGTTAAAACTGGCTTCAGATTGAACCGAAAAGCTGAAAAACTCAAGGCATACCAAAGATACGATAAGGACTGCAAAACGACTGTTGCGAGGGACGATGATCAAAGAAAAACAGTCAAAACGCACATTTTCTGAAGCGCTTTTTCCTGATGTCGAAGCGGAGACTTTATCCAGACTCAAAATACTCAAAGGCTGCTGTAGATTTCCACTGGTAGGAACACTCTGGAAGCAATCGAGCAGTTGTTCAGTGGTAGGCAAACTTTGTGGCGATTGGCATGCGCTTGCTTCCTCGTCATCTTCCAGAATATCGTCGAGTTGACGACGACAAGAGTACTGCTGTAGGTTTTCCATGTCGATATCATCCTCACTGCACTGCACACAGACACTGACCTGTCATAATATGGTATTAGTTACGTAGCTGACGGCGAGAATGGCGCAGTGAAAATTAGCGCTGTTTTTTGCAGAAGTTTGAGGATTCGACTACGCCAGTGGGACAAGCAAGCCCTCTACAATTCGTCTATTCCGATGGTAAAGTGGTAATAGTATATGTCTGTGAAAGAGAACTGCCATCAACTCACTTCAAAGTAATTTTTGAATACGGAGCTATCGACATCTCTGTAGAAAAGTGGTTACTGCTGGCACAGTATCTTTCGAAATACTTTCCAGTATCTCCGCCTCCCGCAGGGAATGAGCACGGAAGGAATTTTGAATTTTTGAGCTAGCATACTGGTTAACTGCTAAGACTGCTCAATTTTCTAACTGAAATTCGCTGTGAGAAAAAATTTTTCTGGCACGTTTCAAATCAGTTTTTCATCAGAATAATGCACATAATGGAAAGTCCAGTGAAGCCGGCTTTTAATCAATAGTGAAAAATTTTTTGCGCAATTGTTTTCGAAGGTTGTAATCTTTTTTCAGTCAGAGGCCAAAAAA